CCGCCTTTCCGTCCTAATCTTGACTTTAAGCTGATGCCTAAAGTACAAGATCAGTTGGGAAGAGGTGAACTTCTCGCCTTCATAGAACCCTTCTGTCGCGTCGTCCAAATCACGACTCGCATAACCCCTAGTAAGCAACAGAACACATAGTGTTCAGCCTTCGTCAATTGCGATACCACATTGCTACAAACAGAACTGGCTTCCAGAACAAAAAACTTTTCCTGCAGCATGCGAACCATGAGGCCTTCAACAAACTTGCTAACGGCACTACCGTCTTGCACTGAAAAAAAGGCGTGACCAATGGTCTCGACATTCCCAGTACAGCGACGACAGTTTGGATATTTCTCCAAGCATGCTGAACAAAGTCTTTTGCCGACCCAGAGGGCCCCACGAATCATCAGCCAGGTGAGTGATGCCTCATCATTATTGAGACATTTCAACCCAGGCGCCCAAGGCCATATCGAGCGAGCCTCCTGCTTCGTAAGACCGAGCTCGTCGATCAGACCATCTCGAACGGACCCCCTAACTAACAATCGATATAATGCCTTACGAGACAACACTTGGGCGTCGGAGAGGCCATCTGACGTCCGCAAGAGGAGTTTCAAAGCACGACGACATTCGTGGTAGAAGGAGCACTCGGCACGAGGAGTACGGCCGGCCTCCTCCTCGCACGAGTGCACACTTCTCAGGGACGGGAAATGTTTTCGGACATCTTCTTTCCAAAAGGTGCCCACCTCATCCAAACCGCGACACATTCGGTCTAGAAAGGTCATGCGAAGCATATATTGACGAATCTCAATGCTAGGCATACCCAGACCGCCCTCAGAGGGATGAAGGCAACAGATCTCGCGAGATACCATATGGGCCTTGCCTCTCCACAAGAAAGAGAACAAGGCCTTGACTAATGACATTAGTCGGGTATACGGGAGTAGAAGCACAGAGAGTCGGTAGAGGAGGATCGGATAGATGTGTGAAACACATACTTCCGCCCTTCCCTTCAGGGAAAGTCTCCTCCGAGACCACAGATTACCCGCGGCCTCGGCCCGCCCTTGCACCTCCGACCAATTCATTTCCAACTGGAGATCAGGACCGAACCAGACGCTGAGTATCTTGATCGGCCCATCCATCCAGAGGAAAGGTCCGGGAAGAGAAACTCCCTTCCACGCACCCAACCGCAAGCCCACAGACTTATCGCGGTTGATCTTGGCCCCTGTCACCATCTCATACCCACTGATCTCCTTGCTGACTTCGTCAATCTCGGCTCTGCTCGACACAAGAACCGAAACGTCGTCAGCATAGGCAGAATACCTGGCCGAGGTGGAAGCACCAGGCAGCGAAATACCGCGTAGGACCGGATTCGCCTTCAACTTGCGAAGGAAAGGTTCCAACGAAAGAACGTAAAGCAGAGGCGATAGCGGACAACCTTGACGAATGGAGCGAGACAATACGAAAGGCTTCGATCTTACCCCATTTCACCTTCCACCAGCGCACCAGGGGGCTCCGAAAGCGGCCGCCGAAAGGCAGAAATCGATGGTACTGATCTAAAGAGTCGGATCCAGGAGCGAAAGTCTGTTCAGGGCCAATCAGACTAGACAGGACAAGCTGCAAACGGTTCTTTAAGTCAGTGTTTAACATCGTTGGGACTTGTCCTTAATCCCCCTCGCACTTGTTCTAGATGACCACCCCAGCTGCCGAGACAGGCAGGGAAAGACCCCTGCCTAATCCAGTGGTGTCGAACTGAGCAGAGCTCAAAGGCTCCGTGGTGAAAACCTCCTGAAAGTAAACTTCGTAAAGACCATCTAATCCCGGAGACTTATCCAGGCCAACCTGCCCGCTTCCCAGATCTTTGTTATGGGTCGCACGGTCCGCTTATCGAACGGTAATGTGTAACGCATGCCCGCGTTTGTAGTCACGGTCGCTTATCCTGGCCGCGTTTCGATTTTCCTCTACACGCAGTTCAGCGGCCATATTCGTTGCCTCAGAAGACATTCTTTTTAACCTAGCCCTAACTACCAGAGCTTGATCCTTCTTGATAAGCAAGAAGGCCAACTCTGCCTTTAGCTAAGGCTATGTCCCCACTAACACGGGATTTCACTGCCCGATCAACTTTATCTTCTAAAGCAGTTTGCGCCGCTAATCTATCTAGATTGAGTCGACGACTAAAATCGGCAGCAAACGTTCGAATTTTAGATTTTAAATTGCCCCACCAGGCATTTCCCACAACCGCTCCCGTCAATTCCCTTTGTATCATTAGTAACAGCTGGTCTCCGGAAACCCTGATCACCAAAAAAAGTGAACAGTTCAATTTCCAGTAACCAGCCAATCTAACCTTAGGTTTATCTAAGTTTACACGAACCCGGACAAGCCTATGATCCGTATAAACTATATAATGGAAACTTGGACACCCTAAGAGCCCTACATCGACTCTCCTAACTAAGACTCGGTTCAGGTAGCTCGCAAGTGAGCCAGGAGCCGAGTTGCCACTAGTTGTCCAAGTCCATGCTACCTCCCGAGGGTGTTCATTCCGGAACTTATCGATGAGATCAAACCCATCGATAAAGTCCCGAAATGGTTTCACATCCGGGTTGTTAGTACCTTTTTATGCCCTATACGATCTATATCGGGGTCAAGGACGGCATTCCAATCCCCGCTAAAACTACCCGACGAGACGTCGTCAAGAACGGCGCGATCTGCCGAAACAAAGCAGGCCGCTCGGAATGGATATTGGGCGCATAAACCCCAATGAGACAAAGAACCTTATCCTTTATGGTAACATCCAGCACGCAAAGCCTGCCCGCCAGATCCGCGAAGACAACGGTACATGCAGCCTTCAAAGACCTGCTCACTAGCCAAGAGACACCCCTCGAACGACCATCAAAACATGCTGAATAAAGGGCGAACCCCTTAGACAGTATATCCTCACGATCATGAGAAGAAAACCGGGTCTCTTGTATACAACATACATTCACCCCGAGGCGCTGAATGTCACGAGAGAGCCTCGCCCTGCGAGACTCGGACCTCAGGCCCCGGGCATTCAAACTAGCTAACCAAAGTGCCATTGTGAAACCAATTAGGGTTGCCCTTCAGGATAGAACATGGCTGGGGAGAGGACACCCACAGCCTGTCCCAATGAGCCAGACATCATCTCAGTATCGAGCGTGTCATCCTGGGACAAGCCGCCGATGTCCGCAGGATAGGTTAGTTTAAGAGCTCTATACAGGGATGGGTGAACATAGATAGGGACCCTCCCTTTACATTTTTTAGTTTCATCTAAATTTTCCTCCAGAAGGACGACAGCTGGGGGCACCACTTTCAAGGATGATTTTGCCTCCTCTATCATGCCCCAGATCTCCCGCGTACCCGGGCCAGTTCTTACGACGGTTAGCTGATTACGGGCCTTGTGGAAATTTTACGGCACCTCCACATCCACACCCTTGATGTGCCGGAAATTCCACAGGATTTTCAAGGGCTTCGGGTTCTTCATTTGCCCGAAGACCCTTTCCGCCTGATCCCGAGATAAGCGGCAGACGTCTTCCCCTGGGAGATATGGTGGTTTGACTTTTTTTTTTTTTTTCTCTGTAGCAGCTTGAGAGTCTGGGCTTCTTACTCTTTTTTTTTCTGTGGTGACTGAATAGGTGTTGGAATGGGTGTGATGTTTGGAGTAGTGGAGGTGTCATGCCCGAAGGCGTCCTCACAGGTGACGGTTTTGGAGAGTGAAAAGTTTTCGTCGGTGAGTTCGACAGTGATTTTGGTGGAAGAGGTTTCATGAAAGGTTTTTTTTTATGAAGTAGGGGAAGACAGGGGCAGAGAATAGAGGGCCAGTGCCCCCAGCGATTTTTGGTTTTACCCAGCTCAGCCTCCAACTGCTCTTTTTTTAATTTCTTTAAGTCCAGGATCTTTCGCCAGCTTGGTTCATTTATTTTCTGGGTTTCGGAAGCATTTTTTTCATAAGACGCCGAGGCGTCGCCCTCAGAGCTGGTAGAGGGAATGGGGCTGTAGGTAAACTTGGTAATTACTACACGAAAGGTTCACACATGTTCGGTTTTTATAATCGCTGAGTGGCTCCCAGCATATGAGCGGCAAAACAGATTGGTCGCGTGCAGACGGTTTGATTGGTCGGAAGTGACCAATCAGCAAGCCAGATTGGGGGTGATTGACCAATGAATACTTGTTATATTGTCTGAAAGTAGAATTTGGCTTACCAGATAGGAAGAGTGCATTTCCTACAAAGAGGTAAGGCTGGTTGTGTTGTGGGAGATTCCATAGTGCAATGGATAACAGTTCAGAATGAGAAATTGGTAGAGCCATATTAAAATTCCAGTCTTCTTTGTTACATGCACTTATGTACAACTACAAGTGGGAAAGATATGAATCCATTTCCACATTAGTAAATAGTGAGACTTGTATCTGAAAAAATCATTGTTATTCTGAAAAAAAAAAAAAAACTCTTACTGCAATATTCACTCACAAAAAAAAGAATTATTCTTACAATTCCAAATATGTTTCAGCTTTAAATAATTGCCCAAAAGAGTTGATAAGTTATAAAAAAAAGCAAACCAGTTAATCAATCCCCAAGATATCTGCATTTTATTTTCATTACAGTTATAAGGCAAGTAACATATATGATGACTTCAATGTTTGAAAGCATAAAACTTTAAACTCTGCTAAATTCAGCAAATTTTAACATGCATGATAAAATATTCTCTAATAATTGCTTAATAAAAGCCGAGGCACTTATTTAAAAATAATTATTTGCTGTTTCACTGGAGATTTTAAAGTTAAGCATAGTCTGCCACAATGCAAAAAATCAAACACCACGTCAATTACCTCAATGCATATTTTATCGTAGATTTTTTAAAATAAATTAAATTATTAAATTTATATTAACAAGCACAGTTACTGGAACTTTTAAATGGAGGCAAGTCTTTTGGTTATCACCGGTCATAATATACATGGCGGTAGAGATACAATAGTATTTGAATCAATACAAAATAGGAATTATGGAAGAAGAAAAAGTGTATGAAGAAAGTGAGTACTTTTTTTTAACATACTGATATATACAAATTTGAAAACAAACTTAATTTAGGTAAAGGTTTGTTTTTTTTTTATTGTAAGTATGACTTTTTAAAGAATTTTAAACTTAGGTAACTTCGTATTTTGTTTTTTTGTCACAGCAAAGGCCAAAGGATATTTCATGCATAAACTATGTTAACGTGTAAATATCAAGTAAAGAAAGAAATTTTTAAAAATTACATTATTTATATTTTGAATGTTGTAGATTTTATAAGTTAATAATGGAGTGCTTTTGGTTTGAAATAAAAGTTGTTTCTTCTTCTAATATAAATTTAATAATGTTCGTCAAACCGAAAGGCATTGATTAGAGAGATTAGTAGAGAACACCTCAAAAAACAAAACAAACATTTCTTTTGCTCTTAACTATAATGTTCCCTCAGTTAATTTTCATTATTTTTATATTTTTTAACATGCTTATAGCCAATAATACTACAAAAATATTCAACTTTTAGAAGAAAAGCAGATTTTGCATGTACTTTTTGTTGAAAACCTAATCGAAACAGACATTTTCATTTAGTTTGATTAATATTTTTAAATCATAATTATTTAGTTTAAAAACAATTTTAAAACAAAACAAATGGAATTGAGAGATTTCGTTTTGCCATTAAAAATCACACTTTTTTTTTTTTTTTTTTTTTTTGGCGATTTAGTAATAATCCTATGAAAAAAGGTTTTACACAGATATTTTGCAGTTTTTATTTTTTATTACAATTTTATTTTAATTCCATGGTTCAATCATGGTTTTTTTTTGTTTTTCTTTCAAATTTAATATTCTTTTTTTCCTTTAAAAAATAACTGCTAAAAAATTTGTTATTCCTTGAGTTTTTTAAAAATTATTTAAACATAGGATAAAAAAAGATTAAAAAGGCGTCATCATACCTGACCGGAGACTGCAATTGTTGGTAAGTTTTCTTACAAAAACAAAACAAAATATTTCACCAGTGTGTGCACAAATTCCCAATGTTCAATTGTGTCTAATAAAGTTTTTTAAAAATCATAAATAAAGGTTGTCAGCAAAAATTCAACAAAAAACAAACTCTTAGAGTCGTCTTCTATGTGAGTTGCTGGTATTTAATTTGCAATTAAAATCTTGAAGCTAACGGACGACCAAGCTAATTAAAAAAAAAAAAAAAAAAAAAAAACTTTATTCCGAAAAAAAACAAAAAAAACAATTTTTTTCCTTCCTTTATTTAAAAAAAAAAAAAAAAAAAAAAAGAAATTGGTGTTATTGATACAAAATTTTCCAGCGAGACATAAATCACGTTTTCAAACTTTTGCATATATAAATGAATATTTTGTAAATTTACCAAGAAAGTGTAGTCTTCCATTTTACGGATGTAAAAACGTATAAACCCCTGATGTTTATCATTTAAGCTTGGCTTTGTATTGCTCACAATGCCCAAATAAGAAGAAACGTTTGTCTGATAGTTGGACTAAATTAATTACCGAGGAAAGCGCAATAGACTAAGGGGGATAATGTACCGATGGAAATAGTCACAACAGCAATCTAGTAACGTTTATTAAACAATTTTTTACACTTGTTAGACACAGTCGAATGAGAGAGGAGAAGATTGATAATCGCTATTATTGTATCCTACTCTTAACTAGTTCTTTTAACGACCTGTTCAGTTCAGATTATATTTTTCTAATGACCACAAAACCTCATACTTCACCTTTCAGATTACTAATTGACTAAAATACCAGTTTTTAGTTTTTGTAGGGGATCTACTTTAAATACTCCATGATGACACATGTTAATTTTTTTTGTGAGTTCTGTTGGGGAAGAAACCTCCAAATTTATTTTTATTTTTTTAAAAGAAGAATACTGCAATTATAGGTCCCTCCATACTATTGTTTTCTTCTTGTGCAACAAATTAGGACAAAGCAAGAGAGGACAAGACCCCTCCTTCTTTTTAGTAGGCAGTTGTCCTGTTTTGGTTCCTTGGTAGTTAGAAGAATGGACCAGCCTACTTTCTGGCAAAAGAGTAAAGAACTTGTAGCAACTGCTATGTTTCTCCATGCCCACATTTTATTCATCTGTGATTGACTAATAAATCAATACTGCCTTTCTATAGGACAATTTAGCCATCGCAGTCATTGCTTTGAATTTTTAGGTTTTGAACTTGCTTACTTGTTTCGTTAGTACAAATTTAGCGATTGGTCAAATCTTAACCGATCACATATTTTAGTGCAAAATCAACTTTTCCCGCGGTTTCGCTGGGAGCCTATCTGTAGCTTTAAAAGAGGCGACTTTTTCACAAGCCGCCAATAGAATCCACTAAATTTCACCTGTCAACACAAACCTGTGACTTTACTCAAAACATTTCAAGTGCACACACACAATTTTGTAATACATATATACATATCTCTCTGACTCAGCCAAGTTCAATCAACCAGGACTCTGTTGATTTCTCTAACACAACACACTTTCTGATCAATTGTATTCTTGTGTTATCTATTCTAACATTGTTCTAACATTGATTCCTGAACATTTCTCTCTAAAGAGAACTTGCTTTCGAACAATCAATTACAAGTCAAAATACGGTAAAAGTGAAGCAACTTCTTTTCCCTTAATCTATACATTGAATACAAATTATTGTATATTTTGTTCTTGTATGTTATTTCAATATATACTTGTTGATTCACATTTGGAATTTCATTGTTTTCTTGAATCATTAATAATACAAAAGATATATGCACTAATGAACACACCCATAACAAATTGACCTTGAAGCCCTTCTGGGTTTATATTGAGGTCGGTAAGTGGTTAAGGGCTGTGATGTGTGTTAGATTAGAACAAAATTTTACATATGGAGTGGGAACATTGGAGGATCTGAACAAAAATAGGATGAGATACTCCATTCATTTCTCTTGTCAAGGGTACAAGATGCCATGTGTAATCAGAATTCTGAAAAGAGCTCTACTTTTCTGCAACACATCTCTGCTCGAAAATCCCAGTCAGTCCTGGCTCCTTCAATATGCACCAAGCTTTCTACTTTCACCCACCTTTTGCTAAATTCTACACTATTTTTTCTATCAAATCTGAGCTTTACTTTAGTGCTTGAAGAAAGTCATCAGGTCAATATTAGAAAAGGAACTATTCTCCTAGATTCCCTCCAGTTATGTGCTCATAATACTATTCAGGACACAACTCTGAGTATGTGAAATACCATCCATTCCACTTCAGATCACTTTGTCACATATGTCCATATGTATCATTGGGGCCCATGCAAGTTGTCATCTTATGAATATAGTAAGCAGGCAAATCTAACAACAATGGAAGGATGTATGCTTGGTTATTTCTTCTCAGCCACTGATATATCATTTGCAATCAGTCAAGTCTGCTTTGACTATATTGACGTCTGTATTGTTGAGAGAATACATTTTAGGCCAATCGCCAGGTAAGGGAAGACTCAGATTTATTAAATCTGCACTTTGCATCTATGACAATCTTGAGTCCTTTCTTTGACAAACCAAGCTTCCCACAGAGTGGATCTGAAGCAGTCTTCTCCCCCAATCTCCAAGGAACTGTTTCTCTACCTTGGGTCTACATGTGACCATATCAACCCTGGGTTCATATAGAGTAATGCCAAGCACAGAAAAAGTCATATTAATAGTCTGCTCTTAAACAGGCTCCTCTGTTAGTATTCATTAGAAGACGATCGACTGAAAAGTAATTCTATGACATATGATTTTTGAACTGCAGGCTTATGACCATATCACACTGAAACACTGGTCCTTCTATGATCACTGAAGTTAAGCTACGTTGAGCCTGGTCAGTACCTAGATGGGTGAAGACTTGTGAATACAAAGTGTTGTAAGTTATGATCTGCAGGTGATGTAATGGATAACTGTTCAGAATTGGAAATTGGAGAGCCAAGTTCTAATTCTGGTTGGGTTTGTTATATTCTTATGTGCAAATACTCTTGAGAAACATATGAATATACCTCTTCACACCTTAGCTATGAGCTAATTAGTAAACTTACTTGTATCAGTAAATCATTACTATCTAAAAAAAAAAAATTTTTAATCCAAAAATATTTTCTGGCTTTAAATAACCTTCAAAAAGTTGATGAGCTGTAAAGAATCAATCAGTCATTGGACTGCACTAGTGACTTTCCTCTCACCTAGTGCAGAGATAAGAGCAATTACTCTAGTGACTTCATATTGTCATCAGAGAGGGGAAGTACAACCAGTCAGTAAAGGTTTGGAGAAAAATGTACATTTTAACTCCATACCAAGCAACTAACTGTAAGTTAGATGACTTATCACAGTTAACCTTGACCCTTGTCAATTGTTTTGTACTATTCAAGCATCTTCTGCACCACTTCTATGTCACCATAAAGATGGTAATATCTTTGCAAGCAGTCTAGCTTCAGCTTCTCTATGAAGGCTTATTCCATGCATGAACTTATGGTGGAGAGAGAGAGAGAGCTAAGCTTGACAGCAAGACTTCAGCAAAAGTAGTAAGAAATAAAAGTGGTAAATAAGGGAGTGAAACTTAAACTTAATAGCAAAGTTACAGCAGCAGAGGAAACATTAAGAATATTAAATTTAAGGTTCCAAGTTTTAGCTTACAAAAGTTAATGCATTGGTGGCAGAGTAATTGTGAGGTTCAATCCTTGGCTTAGGTAATACAGACTTAGACTCTGTGGAAAACAGGATTAGCAATAACTGAATAGTAATAATAAAGAACAAGTTGAGTTATCCCTAGACATGGATAGTACAATGAGAACAACTTATCCCATGGATTAAATAAAGGGTTAAGTTTTTGTTTGGCAATAATTGCACAACAGCATAGTAACAAATGGTAAAAAATACATTTTTATGAACTGGATCATAAAAATTAAGAATTTATACGAAACATGTAAATTAAAGATTTTTGAACCAATCAAATAAAGTAACAATGTACACTATTTATTTATTTTTTTTTTTTTTTTTTATTAAGCAACTCAGGATTTTTGACCAGTAATCAGGTTGCTTAATTTTTCAATAAGGATTAGTTCTCAAGTTTCTTAAATACTTGCTTAATTTTTTTGTTTGAATCTTGAAACATTTCAATGTAACAAAACTAGTAGAATTAATATATTTTTAATACAATATAAAATAATGTATGTCATAACTCATTTTCTTTAAGCCAAACTGATGTAAGTAGTGAAGTTTCCTAAGATTTAGTCAAATCTGAGTACATTTGCTTATTAAAAATGTAAAAATATCCAAGAATCCCAGGACTGAAGTGTTTTCTACTAAACCTCATAAATCCATTTACACACATAACACACTTTAACTTTCTATATATATTTCACAGCATGTTGCATATGCTTATTTTCAATGGATATTATCTCCCAAAAAGAAGATACTATACATTTTGTTTTCTATATCCAACTAACAATGCTTGACAATTAAACAAATGCTTCTAAAATCAGTGAAAGAGGTCTAAGCAAAAAAAAGTAAAAAGAGAAATTGCTATATGTTATTTTTCTATTGCATTTATTCACTTCTTCCTTATTCCCTCCATTCATTCATTCATTTTTTTCCCTTGTATTCACAACTTTCCTTTATCAGTTGGAAACGGTTATTACTAGTTTTGGGGAAGGGAAGAACATGTTTTTATTACAATCTTTTCTAATGCACATATTAGAAGTCATAGCATTACATAAATTTATACTTTTTCATCTAATAAAGCCTTAACGTCTCATGCTAGCCACCACAAGAGTTTTATTTGGGGAATATATCATTTTTTAACAATGCAAATGTCTCTACTTAATCTTTCACTAGCTTTCTTCTGTTCATATATAACTATGTTACTTATCTTCTCCTTAGCAATTAGTTTCACTGTCAGAGACTGATCGATAATTTAAATGTAACTAAATACTTTATTCATAAATTTCAAAGGAATGTCAAACACATAGTACTGGTAGGTTATTGTACAAAAGGTTAAAGTTGAGGTAATATTTCCCAAAATTTAATCTCAATGATGTTGTTTATATGTAACTTTAACCAGATGAAGTCAAATAGTAACTAATGCATTTTACTAAGCTCCCAACAATTATTCAACAGTTTCTTTTCTCACACTTTCCAATCAACTTTGATCTTCAAAAATTTAAGAGTCAATCATTCTCTTCTGTCTTAATTCTTATTATTTTATTGCTCTCTCTCCTTAATAATGTTTGCTTTTTCTCATTCTTTCACACTCAGTAACCCACCTTGTGTCTTAGTGGCTTTATTGACTTGCTTGGTGTGAAATAATAAAAAAAGACTAGTTACTTTAATAGATTGTAATATCAGAGAGAGAAATGTATGCAGTCAGAGTACTATCTTAAACAATCCAATTCATTGGTAAAAGATGAACATGTAAATATCTTTGGTAGTTATTAGTACACAACAGCTCTGCCTAATGATTCTTTTCAATTAGTAAATTGTCTTCCATGAGCCAATTTCATTTTTTTTTTAAAGCTTCAGACAGTCCTCTTAGATGGAACCCACCAATGCCATCAGGTTTTAAAGAATATGAAGAATTGGTTGATGCAGATGTTATCAAAGGAACAGCTTTCAGTAAACAATGGTTATTTACTGTTCTTATGAAGCTTATCCAGGTATGAAAACCTTTTAAATTTAATTTGTCAAAGTTATGTCATATTGTTGGAAGCATTTTAAAAACCTAACAGTAATGATGTTTATTAAAAGTTGAAGAAATAATTAAAATTAACACCTAATGTCTTATTTCTTCTCATAGTACTTTTTGTCATCCCTGGAAAGAGAAATCAGAATCAAAGTTTTTTATTATCTTGTTTTAAAGGACATCATCTCTTTCTTTTTTCTTTATTTTACTAGGACTATTTTAGGTTTTAAGTTTCAAAGTTGCTCCTCTTTATTTTTATAAATCTTCAAGAATTGATGCTCATTCCAAGAAAAAATACCATCAAAAAGAATTTAATTCCTTATTAGAATTTTTTATCATTTTTAAAGCCATTTCATTTCAAAGGTGAATCTGATTGAATGGGACAATTTACATAATCTTAAATGGATTTTTTTTTCTTTAGGAAGTTGATAAGCAGAATGAGTCAGGAAATACAGAAAATGAATTTGGAGTTGATGTTGATGAAGACCTTCAAGATGAATTGTGCAATCTTTGGGACATGTCAATGAATTCTGTAAGTTCAGATTCTCTTGCATTTTCTTTCTGTAAAATGATTATTTTCTATAATAATAATAATGCCAGTTGTCATGATAGCAAATATAAAGAAGTTGTACAACAGCTCATGATTATCTTTCATGATGGTTGTAGTGAAAAAAACAAAAAATAGAAACAATAAAAATCAACATTTTGTAGTTGAAAGATTTAGCTTTATAAAAGATTTTTTTAAAATCATTTGATCAATTTCAATGCAAAAATAACTTGCTGTTAAAACAATAATATCAGGTCATCCCATAAGTTCTGTCCGAATTTTAACTTTTTTTAAAATGAATGAAATTTAAAAATGTATTTTATAATGTCTAATGGAGCTGAACATTATTTTTATGTTTAGATGCATTTAAACTGATCAAATTTTATTTCAGAGAACAATAAAATTAAATTTTGTTTGATTAAAACCCTGCTAACATGGAAGTACCCAATAATCATTTGAGGCACATAATGCTTTATGAGTTCAAGAAAGGAAACTCAGCAGCCGAAGCGGCTAGAAACATTCACTCAGTTTATGGAGAGGAATGTGTGAATGAAAGAACTTGCAGAAGATGGTTTGCAAAATTCAGAGGTGGAGATTTCACCCTTGAAGATGAAGATCGAACCAGATGTCCAGTTGAGTTTGATGAAAAGCTTCTTGAAGCAGCCCTTGAAGAAAATCCTGCTTTATCAGTTGAGGAATTGGCAGTTGTTCTCAGTTCAAACCATACAACTTTTTCAACAACTTGGAAAAGTTCCTAAACTTGGAAAATGGGTGCCTCATGAATTGTCTGAAAACAACCTCAAATCCCGAATTGACATCTGCTCTTCTCTCCATTCTCGCCAACTTGTTTCCCCTTTTTTGGATAGACTTGTGACTGGCGATGAAAAATGGATCTTTTATCGAAATGTTAAGTGTTGTAGACAGTGGCTTAGTAAAGTGGAAGGACCCCAGCCACAGCCGAGAAGGGAACTTCATGGGCAAAAGGTTCTTCTTCCAATCTGGAGGGATCGCCAAGGAATAATCCACTTTGAATTCTTACCACCTAATGCAACAATTAATGCTCAAATATACTGTCAGCAATTAGAGCGTTTGAACCAAGCTTTGAGGAAAAAAAGACCTGTGTATCTAGTGAATCGAAAAGAGGTGATGTTTCATCAGGACAATGCGTGACTACACAGCAAGAATCATGTCACAAAAGATCGAAGAACTTGGTTGGGAGAAAATTCCTCATCCACCTTATTCTCCCGATCTTGTTCCTTCAGACTACCATTTATTTCGTAGCTTACAGAATCATTTGGAAGAAACAGCTTTTGTAACACACGAAGATGTTAAAACTGACATTTGTGTGTTCTTCGAATCAAAGCCAAAAGAATTTTACAGTAATGGAATTAGTAATAGATGAAAGGAAGTCATAGATAATCAGGGAAAATACATTGTTGATTGAATCTGTAATTAAATGTAACATTTGGTCACTTGTTTTCTTTATTCAAAATTCAGACAGAACTTATGGGATGACCTGATAATATACCATAGGCTTAAATTTGGTATTCATAATAAGAAAATAGAAAAATAAGGGTGTTTAATTTCAATACTTATGTGTATTTTCATGTTACCCTAGGTTAAAATATTCAGTACTTGATTGTTTTTTATGGCTTATCAACCATTTGCAGGTTATTTAAAGACTGCAACGATATTACCATCTTTATGGTGACATAGAAATGGTGCAAAAGATGTTTGAATAGTACAAAGCAAGTGAAAGAGGCCAAGGTTAATTGATAAGTCATCTGACTTAGTATCTTGGTAAGGAGTTTAAATATAAATTTTTCTCCAAGCATTTACTGACTGGTTGTACCTTTCACCCCCAATGAAAATATGAAGTCAGTAGAGTGCTTTCTCTTCTCGCTGCACTAGTTGTGATGCAGGCCACTGGTACAGTCCAATGATTTATTGATATTTTTATGGCTTATCTACCTTTTTACAAGTTATTTAAAACCAGAAAATATTTTTAGTTTGTAAATTTTTTTTTTTTTTTTTTAATAATAATGATTTACTGATACAAATCCTACTAATTAACACATATCTGAGGGGAGAAGAGGTGGATTCATACCTTTCTTAATGGTATTTGTGTGTAAGTGAACATAACAAACCTGATTGGAATTGGAACTCTGTTCTTTGACTTCCAATTCTGAGCCATTATCCATTACACCTTCCATACATCCATATTTACAACACCTGGTATTCCTAAGTGGTCACCCATCTATTTACTGACTAGCCTTGATGTTGCTTAACATTTGTGATCATATGAGAACTGGTGTTTCAATGTGACATGTCGTAAGCTGCTGGGTACTTGAAAGCAGGAAACCCTGAACACAAAATACTTGCTGAATGTTTCATTGGTTGCATTTCGGTACATTGTGACTTATGTGTATTTATTTGGTCATATGATTGGCAATATGTTGTCTTCATTTAATTTCATTCTGTTATTAACTGATTTATGTTCCTTGATCATGTCAGCCATTGTTCATCATTAGTCATTCTATCTTGCTGAATATTATTCATGTAAAATAAATACACTGTGTATCACATATATTCTTTTTTTGGTGTGAATCTAGGGCACTTTCCACAGTGCACAGATACCATGCTGAACCTAGGCAAATGTATATGTAAATAATCTCATTTTTTTTTTTTTTTTTTTTTTTTTTAAACTTTTGACAGATACACAATTTTTTTTATAAGCAGTTGTTTATAAGTAGCTGTACTAAAATTTGACTAAATCTTAAGCAACTCCACTACTGATGTCAGTGTGGCTTAAACAACTTAAAAAGCAAAGAAAAACAAAATCTGAAAAATTAAGCAAAAAAGATTTACTAAATGTTATTTTGTACTGTATTCAGGAATTTCTACTAGTTTAGTTACATTAAAATGTATTTCTTTTCTATTTATTAGACCTTATGTGGTGTTTTAGAAAGAGAGAAGAAATATCTTGGTTTTCTCCATGCTCCAGGACCCACATTAGGCATTAGTTTATCCATGATACACTAATGCCTTAAAACAATAGAAGAAAGTTTCTTGAAAAGACATGGCCATCATGGGGGATATTTTAATGTTCCTTATTTAAGATATATGACTTTCATTCATTATCTAAACTGCCACTGGTTACTGTTCTGTCTTCGTAGCTAATCAGCAACTGTTTCTCACATCTGTTTAGCTTGTGGGTTAAAAACCAACTGATTATTGTTACCAATGGGCTGTTGTCACGGTCACATGACCCTTAGGATGTTAGTAAATTCATCCTGTAAAAAAGGAAATAATCATCTTCACCAACTCTACAGTCACAAGCATAAAAAAATTAAGCAACCTCTGTATTAGTCAGAATCCTGAGTTGCTTATTTAAAAAAAATCATTTATGCTAGCACTGAAATGAATCTATTTTTTTTTTTAATTGTTTTTATCAAATTTAAGCCCCATTCTATGGTACAATAATTTTATTTTTATAAGTTCTATTTACATGATTCTAAGCTATATCTTTTACAACAGTCATTCATATTTTTAACTTTTTGTAGAAGATTCAAGATATATGTTGCCTCCTTAAAAATTCTTCTGATAAGCATTAGTAAGAACATTGAAGAATTATTTCCTATATATAAAATGATAAACCACAGTATGGGATTTGCATGCATATAATAGTTGTAGATTAATGTAGGAGTCATATGAAAAAATTGTGAAAGTGGTGTAAGTCAATGGCAGACTCACAACAGATATGTTTCTTGTATCAACTTATATTAGTATTTTTGTTGTATACTTTCATTTCAAATGTAATGTTTTAATATTATCTGAATTAACTGCCATATGATATAATTTTTTTATTTATCCTGTATACATACATTCAAATTCTGTTGAAACAATGTCCTTGGGAAAAGCATAAATCCCTATATCTTCCCATAGCTCTGGGTTAAATAACAGGATGGACTGAACACTCTGTCCTTTGTGTCCTTTCAGTTGGACTGGTTGGCACCAGTGTGTCCTTTCAGTTGGACTGGTTGGCACGTTCACCTTCATTCTGAAAAGACAGTATTTTTATTTAGTTATACACACATTAAAGATTATTTTTTCTTTCTTTCTGATGACTTAATTAGTATTATTTTAAATTATCTCTCTTTAATACTTTTATTAGAAACATGTTGATATTATCTCACTTAAATAAGACTAAAGAGCTTTATAATCTCCACTCATTTTTGTAACATATTTTCTATGATAAATCTGTTGATCACATGACAAAATGTCATCTACATGTGATCATTTCTATATTAAAGCATAACATTTTGAAGTAGATAAAATCAGGATCATTTAAAATTAGTTTTAACACAAAAATTTCCATTTTTGTCTAAATCAAGAACTGTCTACCTAGGAGACTTGTATCTTTCGACTTGATTATTCAATCCAGATAGCTTTGGCTACCTGGATTGAATAATGAAAAATGACATCATCTCACAGAACTATTGAAACTGATCTTTACTGAGTACTCCACTCTTGTTGCCTTGTGCCAGAATAGGCAAAACAAAGCATTGTAAATATCTGATTATTCATCATGGAATTGCTAATTTATTTCAACAAAATAAATTAAAACAGTTATTTATTTAAATCATTATCTGTTGATGTATTAATTTCATTTTGGCAGTAAGCTGTCAATTGACTTTCTAAAGAAGTTGTCATTTAAAGAACAGATAAATTCATTAAAAGCAGATTTAATTTTATTGAGAGAAGTTCTCATCTATAAGAATATAATCTTGTTGCTTGACAAAATAGGATTCCATTAAAGACAAATTGGATAAATAGGTAGAGTTTAATAAAATTTCCATCAATTCAATTTTATTTATACTGTTTTTTTCATCTTGAATGTAGTCATAATCATATTGCAAAATTGACACCTTTTCTATTCACCAAAGTGGGGTGATGTTTTCAATGTGTTATTTCAAACTGGTTTATATATTTTTGTATCTTGTTTGGTCATTTTGAAAGAAACTATAATTTATCAAAATGCTCCTCTTCCATTAAACAACTCACAACGATCTTTTGGGGAATCTGATACAGTTTTACTTCATGTTTTAGTTCTTCATTGCACATTATTTACATTATTCGGACGATTGTCCTCATCTTTGTTGCCATATTTATTACAACGTTTCAGCCATTGTATGCTCCGGCATTCTTCAAGTGGTTGGAATGTCGAACTGAACCCTTTATTTCGCTCACTGGGGTAGACTGTTCTAGTTCCATGTGCCATGTTTGATGGATGTCAGTTATCAGTTATCTCCTGTTAATTTCCTCTGAAAGTTCTCCACTGCCTTAACCAGGTATTGAACTCACGCTCTTTGGGTCCTGTCACTGGATCTAACCAACGCCTTTATCCATTGTGCCATGTGTCCTTGAGTACAAAGACCAATACAAATGAACACTAATGGTTGCTGGGTTAGTCGACCAAACCTGATAAGCAAAAGCCATAGACTGAAAACATTGGAGGATTAGCATTTAGGATTCGGAGTCTACTTTGAAATTCAGAGAAGGAGCTATATTCAAAAAAAGAAATAAGAGTAAATATGGTAGACAGTGATGCCTCATCCTCCAAGAAAAATTGCCTGTTTTAATTAGCCTTGCCAATTCCAGGCAAGAATTGGCCTTACAGACCATCTTCAAACTCATTGACTATGCCAACTGTGAAGATGTGATCCTTCCTACTCTTCTGAGAGTGAAAATTGATGATGACAATAATTATTGAGGAATTCTTTTATTTCTTGATTATCAATATTTATTATTTACATATCAAACAAAGTCAAAAGAATAAAACAAGAATTTTAAAGAATTTTTTTTTTTTTTTTTTTAAAGAAATATTTGGAAATATTTATAAAAAGTTTTAATGTGACTATATTGTTTTCTTTTTACTTACAAAAAGTCAAATAATTTAAATAAAACTAAAAAAATTGCCAAAGCAATTTATTACATTAGTCTATTTTAATCAAACTGATTTTAATTCTCCAAAGGATTATCTATCTTTCAAAATATAAAGTTTATTCACTGAGGTTTTATAAATGATAACACAAACATATTTACATTTTAATTAATAAATTTATTCAATGATACAATGAAAACAAAGTTTTATTAAATTTTAATAGGTGAATTTCCACAAATTTTAAAAATTCAAGCATATCACGTATTCAAATTGTTCTTATTGATTTTTCATTCATAAATATGTTTAACAACTGAGAAAAAGATTTTCAATCGGATATCACCATTTCTTTATATTGAGTGAAAATAATTTTATATCAAAATATTGTGTAATTTTCTTTTTAATGGTATAAATTTGATAAAAATTGAATTCACTTTTATGTGATTTAGATGAATTTTTAGTCATGGATATTTATAAAGTTCTGTATTTTTACAAATATATCTTATACAACTTTACTATATTAATAAAAAAAATGGTGTGTTGTAATAGATATTCCAGTTGTGTTAGTTACTTTCACTAATGTACAAATACCCTTGGGGGGAAAGGTAGGGATCCATCTCCCCCCTCCCCAAATTATGGATTGATTGGCAACCAGTATACGAAACAGCAACCTACCATGGGGAAAATCTTCTGCCTAGTCAGTCATAAATTGAAAGAGACATGATTGCCCAAGTGTTGCTTGGGCAATCATGTATGGTACTTAACTGAATTAAAAAAAAAAAAAAAAAAACCTTGCATAATTTAATATGGATTTTTGAATGGAAGCCCTCTCAAATAGATAAACAAAAGAAAGGAAGTTAATCACAGACAAGCCATGTGGCAGATGAGCAATTTTATTCACGCCCAGGATTTAGCAATTTTTAATTAAACAAAAATAAATCTTTGGTAATTTTGAATAAAAGTTTTCAATAAGTTCTCTTATTTTAGAGATTGTATATATGTTATAAAAGTTGAAATATTAAAAGCTTAAATCATTCAACAATTATGCTTCTTAACTTACTATACTGTGTACATTTCTTTATCATAGCAACAAATGTATTTTTAGAAGCATGTTAGTCCTAGAACAGCCATATTAGCTAATATGTTTATACCATGTAATATAATCTATACAATTTTTCAAATGAGTTCGTTTTGTCTTATGCTAGTCTCATGTTCATTTGTCATGTTTTTCTTTCCAGTTATTTTTTTTTTCTTTGTCTTCAGGTTGCTTTTCATTCGGGAACTTTTTATGTTGTCTTCAGAAATTGCTGAGCAAAATTAAAAAATTCAAATGTGTTATCATACAGTGTGTTTGTATTCAGGCATTCATGTTTGATTACTTAAGTCATTTTTTTTATTTGTGTGCATCCATTGGGTCTGAAAATAGTTATAGCATGACTGAATAAAAAAGAAACTTTTCTCCATCTGTAATGGTGAAAATTTGACTGTTTTGAGCTAACCATATTCACACAAAAAGGGAATTTTATACTATTAAATAATTATTATAATGAAATATGTATAAAGAATCCTCCCAGTAATATTTGCACTTGCATACATTGGGAATGCCTAATTTCAGTTTTGGCTGTCATCCTGTTTTTGTATTTTCAGTGGGAAATCAAAACAAAGAAATACTTTCTCTTTTAAGTGTTAAAAATGAGCTGAAATATTGTCATTTAGTTTGGGGTTACAAGTATATTGTTTTAAAAATGTTCATTATTTTGTCTTGTTTATAAATCCAGATTAAAGTGCATATTTGCTCTATTAATTTATATATAATTTAAGGTAAATTAAAAATGGTCATATAATACTGTTATTAAATAGTTTATAGACATTTCCAGTTATCTGCTACTTTTATGAAATGACAAGTAAAAGGAGTATGTGAAAGACCAAACACTGATATCTTGAACCAAACTTTTAATATTGTATCACATTTATGGGGTATTAATGCAATTCAATTTCCCGACTGCTTTTAAGATTGTATGGATAGTGTCACAATTATTGGTGCAAAAAGTGGAATAGGCAAGACATCTTCAAATTCTGGCCTACTCTATTGCGTTTACTTTCACTCTAATTTTTCTTAGAAAAGGCTTGAATCCATCTCTTCTTCCCCTATCTATGGGTTAAATAGCAGTATAAAATGGGCTCTCCAGCCTTGCATGATATCCAGTCTAAGAGAACAATAATTCCAAATTTAAAACCATGGAGAAGGCAATGGGAATCACAATATTCAAATTTTTGCATATGTATTTTTTTATTTTCTTCAATTTTAATTCTCAAGTTTTTTTTTTTTTGTCCTTCATTCTTCTGAGTTCAATATGCAAAGAAACGAAGCAACAGTCACGCTGTTCAACAAATGTGCATTATATTGGCAGATTTTTAGAAAATTTTAAAGCACTGAGAGATTTTAAACATTAAGTTGATGGTTGTCTTCTTAAAATGTTTTTTAAAATTCCAATAATGTTAAATTTAGTATTTGCTATTTTAAAATTTTACTTAACACAAGTATTTTTAGAAAAAAAATGAAATACATGTGAATAACTCAGAGAATTATAAAATTAAAAAAAATAAACCTCTTATGATAATATTCCAAATAAAATAAACTATCAATTGAAAAAAAATTGTTTTAGTTTTATTGACTTAACCAAGGTGGGGAGAACTGTTGATAGGTGAGGTGAGAATAAAATCTTTGCCAGCAGTAGGTGATAGTTTAACAATAATGTTAGCAGAAAAGTGCTTTTGGATGACTTAATAAAAAAAAAAAAACAAGAATTTATTTATCTATTTTTTTTCTTAAGTAGCAGATTGTTAATGTAATGGAAATGTTGCTTGCCTGCTTATCTCCTGGTTGAATGTTCAAATCGCAGCAAAGTATCAGTTAATTTTATATATCTGCTTGCTTTAGCATAACAAAACAAACATGATTGACATTGGCTTTTTTATAAGATAACTATTACAACTTATTTTGTTTCTGTCATATTTTCAGGATGTTGTAGTTTTCATGAGAGAATTCAAGTCAGTTGAGTTGCTTTCAGCTGTAATAGCCAATTCCAGAGCCCCTCGTGTCACAGTAAGTAAAATTTTATCAGTGGGGTTCTTCTTTCTCTCACTCTCTCTATCTCTGGTCAGAATGTTTGACTGAAGATCATAAAGGTTTGGTCTTTGGTGTTGGGTAGGTGATATTTATTAACATTATTATGTAAATCACAAAATTATCTCAGGGAGTATCTCCGGAATTTTAAGTCTTCTAATTCTTTGTTTGAAACTGCAAAATTTCAGTCCTCGGTTAAATTTTTTAACTTGATATAAACATATTTATAAAAGTTACTTTATAAATATATTGAAGTTATATAATTTTTTTTAATGTTTAATTTTTTTTTTATTTAACGTACTTTTGGTTCCATGCAATATTTCTGGAGCCTCTAATGTACTGACGTTTATTTGGTGGCATATAAGACCCACTCTTTTTTCCCCAAAATATCTCTCAGGCCTTATATATGATGTTGATGTATGTTCCTTAAATAGACAATTTGTCTTTACCCTGACTTTGATATATGACTTAATTTTTCAAATTAATCTCAAGTTGTCAACTTTCTTTCTTTGTTTCTCTTTCTTTCTTTGTTTCTCTTTCTTTCTTTGTTTCTCTTTCTTTCTTTGTTTCTCTTTCTCTTTCTTTGTTTCTCTTTCTCTTTCTTTGTTTCTCTTTCTCTTTCTTTGTTTCTCTTTCTTTCTTTGTTTCTCTTTTCTTTCTTTTTTCTTTCTTTTTCTTTCTCTTTTCTTTCTTTTCTTTCTTTTTCTTTTCTTTCTCTTTCTTTCTCTTTCTCTTTCTTTTCTTTCTCTTTCTTCTCTCTTTCTCTTTTCTCTTCTCTTTCTCAGATGTCCCTAATGCTGACAAGTCATCCAAGATTAGATTTTAACTCTTCCTATACATCAATGTAAAATTAATTGTATGAAATGAATACAACTTCATTTAGGTTGATTGACTTACATTTTATCTAAGAAACCATTAATCATGTCAACATCAGGCTTGGTGTGCGAGAGAGATGATTGGGTGAATTCTAGTTCAGTTAAATTTTATTTAATTTTTACTTGATCCAGCATTCAATCCTTGCTGGCTCTCTTTCCTCTATTAATTTATAGTAAGACACAGTGCACTGTTTGGTTATGCAACAGATGTTCAGCTATTGCTGTGTTGACTGACTTTCATTTCCAGCTACTGATTAGTTCTTCTTACAGAGTCAGCATCACACTCATTATTTAAAATGATAAATAATTGAACTAATATGATAAGGCAGAACATTTCTATACATGGGTCTTAACATTGGTTGAGTAAAGGCAATACATGGATTAGTAGCTAGATAACAATTTTTTTATACTGGCACAGATTTGTTTAACAAACTTCATGCTAACATCATCAATCCATGGCAACTGCAAATATATAGGACATTTACTAGAACCCATAAATAATGATGTTCTGCCTTCCCATCTTATTCAATTATTTATCATTTTTAATTGTCACTGTGATGCTGACTATAGATGTAGAACTGGTGAAAAGTTAGAAATATAGATAAGTCAATATATACTAGTTATTATTCATAAGGAATAATTCAATAATTTTGATACGTATGTCAATGCATCCAGGTCTGCAATAGCTGAACATCTGTTACATAACTCTGTGTGCTGTGCCCTGTTGTAAAGACATTCAAAGTTCTGAATCATGCAAATACACTTATGGGTTCTAATCAAGATTCTTAATTGATTCTTTCTCTGATTACTCTCTGCTTTAACACTTCTTGATTTTTAACATTTGATTTAATTTGTTTTAATGCTACAAACCTCCTAAAGGTTATTTTCATGCACAAATGATGACCTCACCCAGTTACATGAAGGACAATGATTGCTTGTAAATATGGAATAAATTCAGTTGATGTATCTATGGCAAAAATATCTTACTTCTGACTGTCTAAAGTTCTTATGAAAGCTCTTACCAGTGTACCAAATAGTAGTTTTTAAACAAAAGAGAAGTAGCAGCAGTAGCAATTAGTTGGTTAGTGTCAGTGTAGTAAGCTAAAGAACATGGAAGTTGGGTATGATTTGTTGTTGTGAAAAGTGGTACAAGGATGTGGGGAAAATAGAAATGGCTTACCTCCCAAATGCCCTCGCGTCTGTCTGGCCTGTGGGTTGAGAAAAGAAAGAAAAGATCCAAGATGGCGTCCGTGACTTTTTAATATTCACGGTCTCGTGCAGTCACGCAAAGTCGCATTACACGGATGCTAATGAGGTGTGTCTGGGCTCCATAAAAGCAGGTCGCTTGGAGAAATTGGCAGAAGGGCATTACACCCGTGTTTGGTGTACATTGCTTTGCGTTGCAGCGGGTCAGACATTTTCAGACGGAAAGAGTTGCGTCCCTTACACTGTTGAATTCAACTCCTTTGCTACAAAGGGTAAGTTTAATATGTTTTTCTCGGAACATTCATTGAAAATAAAATTCTATTCTTGATAGATAGGTGTGTTTTACTGAATAATATATGTATATATTTATTTTAATTCCAGGAAATATGTGTTGGTATTTTGGGAAATCTTGCCTGCAATGAAACCGTATGCAGGGAGATGTCTTCTGACCAAAATTTTATGTAAGTTTTATTTTTGTTGAATATTTGATAAAATAATTGCTCAGACTACTGAAAAGATTTACTTTCTGTCTGAATTTAAATCTATAAATAGTGAAAAGATTTAGTTTCTTTTGGTCCTCCCACATGGTTGTGAATGTTGGACAATCTCCTCACTGATGAAGAAGAGACTTGAGGCAAGAGAAAAGTAGTTCTACAGAAGGATGCTATGAATCAAACATGTGAGCAACAGCAAAGTTTTATGGAAACAGGGCATTTATACTTAAAGGGGCACTTGAAATTTTTAGGGCACATAATGAGGAAAGAGGCTTAGAAAATTTGACACTCACAGGATATATTGAAGACAAAAGGGACAAGAGGAAGACAGCACATAACTTATGTAAAGAGCTTGTGTAAATGGTTGGCAGAACAGGGTTTAGAAGAGATAGCAAAAGGACAAGAAATTGTGGAGAGCCATGATCACCAACATCCTGAAAGGACATGACACATTGGTGATATTTTTATTGTAATTAGACTTTAAACATATTAAGTAACGGTATCTAAGAAATTTTAATTTTTTTTTTTTTTTTTTTTATAATCATTTTACCCCAAGCAAGGTGGGTATGCCACTAGTATGCAGGCGGTTACAAGGAGTGAAAGTGAGAGAAAAGACTGAGTATAGAGAGGATTGAGGAAAGGACAAAAGATGAACGGGGTTCAAGAAGATAAAAAATGGCGATTGATGTTGCATTTATATTTTTGAAGATTGTAGTTTTCAGGAAGGGAGTTCCACAGGTGGGAAGTGTGGGAAAGGAAACTGTTGGAGTAAAAATGGCGGTTACATTTAGCTCTTTCAACAGAAAACAGGTGGGACCTAAATGCCAATCAAGTAGCACATTTAAATTCATGTAATCAGCTCTGCTCATTTTATTACCATAATATCCCAACTTAATTCTTACCATCTAAAAATATTTGCTGGCTTTAAATAACCTGTAAATTGTTGATAAGCTGTAGTATTATAGTGGATGGTTATAAGCGAGAGGGGATATGGGATATGCTTTTTTTTTTTTTTTTTAATCATTTTACTCAAAGCAAGGTGGGTATGCCACTAGTACGCAGGGGGTTACACGGTGTGAAAGTGAGAGAAAAAACTGAGTATAGAAAGGATTGAGGAAAGGAGAAAAGATGAACGGGATTTAAGAAGATAGAAGATGGCGATTGATGCTGCATTTATATTTTTGAAGATACATAAAACAAAAGAATTAGGTATTTCAGATTTTGTCAAATTTAATACAGCATGATTTTTAGGAAAAAGATCAAACAGAATCGTTTCAAATGTTAGCATTGTTAATTATTCTGTACAAGTTTTGCTTTTAGAGGCAATGTTTTAATTGATAAGAATTTTAAGTAGGTTAATATGTTATTGGTATTTGTATTTTATGTTTCAAAATCTGTCACAATTTCTTAAAAAGTGTAAAATGTTGCTAATTATTTGAACTATGAACATTTAGGTAAAAAAAAAATCCCACATAAAAATGAAAGAATAGAAGGCAGAAATTTTTACTAAGTGCAAAATTGTTTTACTTTCTTTAATAAATTTCTTTTTCCTTCCATTTTACTTTCTGTTATGGAACAAACCTTTATGGACTAAATGGACTCGTATATTACTTTATATACGGGGAGATTATGCCTCTTGAGGGGGTTGTCTACAGTTGACGAGTTGACTACTGTACTTTGCCGTCAGTCAGACGTGCAACACTTTTGTATTCATTCTTTTTGTTAATAATCTATTTTTACTAAATTGCTGAGTTCAAGTTTTCTTTCAGACCTATTCTGGATCCACAACACTTTCCTACTTAATTGGTTGTTGATTATAACAGTATGGTCTCTGCCCCTTTTTCCAGACAATGTTGTCATTTATTGAAAGTCTACCATTTGATTTATGCTTAGAAAATCTAGTCACACTTGCATATGGCTATAAATGTATATGAATCAGAGTTATTATTTTACATTTAAACATGTTGAAAATACAATGTCACACCAGTCTTTTTCTGATATCAACAAACACATTTAATAATATTGTAATTTCTACAAATAAAGTTGTATTCTTTATTTTCAATCCACACTGCTTACTAACAACCATAGAATGACAATCTCAGAATTGTGATAAAAAAGGTTAGAAATAAAATGAAGAAAATACTAGTTAAAAATGAATAATAATTAACAATGCTTCATCGAATAAATAAACGTTAGATATTTTCAATTTACATGAATAGAACATTTAGTAATTTCTTTATTTTAAGTGCACACAACCAAATAGTCTGGATATGTGCCTAGTTGAATCATTCTTCTTATTTTCACAAGTGAAAGAACATGAAAGGACAAATTCTTATATGTTTTGATTAAATAACAGAAATGGTCTCTTATTATTCTTGTCTTTCATTTTGTATCTTTGCAGTCACATGGTACTATTGTTATTACAAAACCCTGATGGATTATGTTTAGTACAAACATTCAGGTAAGATGATTATGAAAATTAATAACTTAATATTCAAATGTTAATTTAAAAAAAGAAATACTTTTTAATCTTACAGCATTGTATAATAATCTTCTATTGACTTGAAGATATTAAAATCAGCAGTTCAGGAAAAAGTTGGTTTTCTTTTTACAGTGAAGTTCACCGTGTACATGAAGTGGGGGCTACTTGAGATATAGGGTTACATTAAGAGGCAGTTTATATGGTTAAGAGGATAAGATAATGGTTAAGCCTAGACTTGAACACATTAAGATTGTAGTCATCAGGGAAACATCCTGATCTGGCTCTTGTAAAAGGTATAGGATATATCTAACAAAATGTATTAAATAAATGTGAAATGATGACCACAACAAAAATGAATTCTCTTTCTGACTGTTTAATACATGCCAAAGCTCTCTTTAATTATGTTAAAGTTAAAAAGGTAGATCAGAAATCTATAGACAATCTAAGGAAAGACACACTGGACTTTGCATTGAGATGTTATATTAAGTGTACAGTGGCAGAACAAAGAAGAAACAATGGAAGTTTAAGAAATAAACAAACAGTGAATCTGTGTAAATGTCTCTTGATGAAAGGAGGTGATAAGTGGAATTGTAAAAGTCATCTGCAGAGGCATATACAGTAAGAGAAGGAGGCTAAATTGTGACTTACTGTGGCAACAGCCTTTGGTGATTTGTCTTTTGAAGATGGGAGGTTGTATTCAGATGAGTGTTGTGAATCTGGGCTGTTATGCTGTCCTAATTTTGAAGATGTCTCTTTGATGGGCTTTTATGTCCTTTTCTTAGGCTCAAATTGGCTCCAATTTTTATTTTGTTTCTTTAGGCGGGAGTGAGTGCTATTGGGTGGATTGTATTTTTCTTTGAGAATGTGTGTAAAAATGGAAGCTGTGTGTTGAGCCTATGTGCAGTTGATGGAATCCTAGTTCAGTCCTGGGTTTTGAGGCATTCACATCCAGCCAGTGGTGAAAATTAGCATAGCATGAATCAGATTAAGATGATCTTGTTTTAGAAAGAATGTAACAGAGAGAATTGATGAAAGTTGTTTTTATTCTTTCCTGCACACCAAAAAAACTAAGTCATTTATGATGTCTAGATTTGTTTGTAAGACTTCAATTGATTTGAACAGTACAAGTGTAAAAATTATTGCTGTTTAATTAAATAATAGAGGTGTGGATGATGTGGGTTGTCCCATCATAGCTTTGCTAGTTTTGCCAAGAAGTCATTAGAGGGTGCTGTCAAAACTGGACTCTTCCTGTCTTTCTCTCCCTTCTCATGCTGAAGTGACAGTGCCAACCAGGACCTCCCCAGTTTTTTGCATACATATTCATGTATTTTCTCTCTTGTTACTCAGCAATATAAAATCAAAATATATTGCCTTGTTGAAATTCATTCTATTTCCTTACACCTGTCATTTACATGCGGGCAAAAAATTTTCTGGCTGCTTCTATTCAAACTAGGAGCTGTGCCTACAACATTTCATGATCATGATGTGATTCCAACATACACAAAAACTGCAACAATAACTTGAAATTCTGGCTGAGACAGTTTTTGTCAACATCACCCTTAGAAAAAGGCATGAATTTATCTCTTCAGCACATACTGGGTTCTATAACTTTGGTTGGCAACCAATCTAAGAGAAGGGTAACTCTTAATTCAAAACTATAGGATTGGGTATGAGGCTAGAAACAGAATCTTATAAAAAGAACTACCAAATAGTAGTGTCACTGGTTGTAGAATTCTTGTAGACTACTACAAGAATTCTGCAGGAAATGAAAAAACAGAAAATAAAAATTGATTAAATATTAATTCTAATTAATTTGCATTAGCACCTGTGATAAACCAGCTTTGCTTGCACTGTCCTATTGTCAATCATTTTCAGTATGGTCTTGTCACTGGTGCACTATGATGATAGACAGAAAAAGAGTGGATAACATAATTAACTTTACTATAATTACCTGCTCAATTAATACTAGCCAAATGTCTGCTATATCCATTTTTAGCTTTACCTCCCAGTTGTAAATGTGTTATCAAATATTTAAGCAAAATATTCAGAAGATATAAAGTGTGGGTTAGCCTAACAATTACTAGCACAAAAAACTGAATTAATGAATCCAGTTTGAATTTCAGTTGAGAGGCTGTATGTGTTTACGTTGTATGAATTCCTTTAGGAAAAGAATGAATCCACTTCAAATTACACTCTGTTCCATCACTAAATATCTTTATAAAATATCTCTTTGGTGGCATACCATGATGGTTGACAGAAGAGAATGGATGAGTAAACACTTGGATAAATCTTTTTTCTATAATTACCTTAACTGCTCAGGCATTAGCAGCAAAAAATGTTGCCACCTTAATCAACCCTGACAGTAACAAGTTCTTTTGTTTTTTTTTTCCTAGTAACAAAAACTTGAGTTCTTACATTTGGATGTAGCAGACCTTTGACATTGACACCCACCTCCCACCTAATAGTTCATTAAGTTGAGGGTTTTATGTGTTTTGATATTGAACTATTCCAAGAAAAGTAGTTATCTGTACCATAGAAAAAAAAACTGATATAAAAACTATTTTTGCTTTGGTTTAAGTATGTTAGCTATTACAATAACATACTATATTGTAATAGTTTTGTAATAATTTTTAACATACTTTCTTTTGTGGCTTTCTTTTTGTATTTCTCTTTTTTTTTCTGTATAATTTTCTTTTTCTACTTTTTGTTGCCTTTTCATCTTTTTTTCTTTTTCTGCTCTTTTTTTCTTGTTTACTCTCTCTTATTTCCTGCACATTTCTATCTTTTTATTTCTCTCTCTCTCTCTCTCTCTCTATGTTCTTTTATTCTTTTACTGCTTTTTTTTTTCCTTCTTTTTATTTGTCCTTTTCCTCTTCACTTTCCTCTCTTTGTTTTTACAGATTGCTTTATTCTTGTCTTGGTTATGAAGCTGGCCAGTCTGCTTGGATCAGTGCCATTAAGCAGCAAGAGAATGAAATTCTTGAACAAATTAAATTTATTATGACCAGTTCTACAAATGGTAGATATATATTTTTTTTATTATTTCCTTGACAGATAAGAAACCAAAATATTTTATTCAGTTGTTTAAAGTGAATTATCAGATTTATGACTAAAAAAGACTTTATCTCATTTTAGAAGAGAATATTCTGGAAATTCTCATCATAAACAAGAGAACACAGAAAAATTCTTCAACCAAACAAGAATTCCGTCAAAAGAAAAACCCCTGATGTTAGGTCATTTGGCCAGATTTTTGGAAGTGGGTTGTAAAAAGAGTTTTTCAGCCTCCACCTTCATGTGTTTCCAAATATTAAATACTAGCGGTAGAGCCTGGCGTTGCCTGGGGATGTAATAGTAAGAGATAGATCAAGTATCGACCATCATAAAGACTGAAAAATAAAATTGACAAAGATTATTGTTTAAGGTTGACGGACACGCATGTCTTAATTAGTTTTTTTTAACGAATTGGTCAAACTCAAACAAAAACATTGTTTTCAATTGTTATGAGTTTACTGATTGAATAGAATTTTATTATAAACAATTGTCTTGTAAATGGAATTTTTAAAGCATTCTGAATGTAAAAATAGAAAAAAGTTTACAAGCCTTTCAGAAACACTACCTGCCAAAAAAGTGAAGTTTTGTTGAAATTGGTTGAAAAAGGTAGGAAATCTGATCCCATATATAAACAAACACACACACACAAACAACTGGGTTTTATAATAAGTATCTCTATATGAGTTGACCCCTTTCATTCTCGCGACAACGATGCCTCTTAATCGTGTTTTCAAATTGATTTTGTGCAAGAACAATTGTGTTTTTCCAATTTTTGGTGCTGTCAGAACCACCACAAAGTAAATTTTACGTAGTCCTGTGAAGTTTTGTTGAAATCAGTTGAAAAATGTAGGCACTCCGATCCAATATATAAGCGAACAGACACACACACACAACCTGGGTTTTATAATAAGTATGATTGGTTTGAAAAAAAATCTGATTTTCATGTGATGCTTACAGGAATTCCTCCCCACAATAATTTTGTTAGAAAGAAATTGTCATGAAATTCAGTAATTTTTAAAATTTGTTTTAGCTGTCTCCTCTTTTAGTACGTATAATCATCATTTAAGTATCAATTTTGTCTTCCTCTTGTAAATCTTCATGCCTATTAATAATAATAGATGATTAGTCACTTTATATTTGCTATTGTGGATAATAATCAATATCTATTTGTAAGCTTTAGTCACTGTAAGTTTGTCTCAAGCTTGATAAAAAAATAAGTTTTCATTCCAACTGAATATGTTTTTTTGACTTATTGTTTATATTGCATTTTTAAAAAATCTGCACACTTTGGGGGGTTCATTTTTTTAATAAGTTATATTTTTTTACTTCTTTAGTTGAATTGCTAAAAAATACTGGAGAATTGGTAAACATTTTGATGGATCTTGATGATGTTCTGTGTAGACGTTGGAGTGAAGCTTCTCTACTTACTTCCATGTTTGAGGCTATCAAAGAAATTGGGTAAGTACTGTGAATATAGCAGTGTGGTAAGAGAATTGGATTAGACACCATAAGTTTACAGTTCAAGATTAAATCTCTGGTGTCAAGTAAATGAATCTCATTAAAAAATTGAGATAAAAAAATACTATATATGCAAAGCAGTCAAATATTTTTTTTTTATATAGATGCATAAACTATATTTTTTTTTTATTTTTGTCTCTCACACACAAATGCTATATGAAGTATTCAAGGAAAAATAAACATTCTTCTAATTATTAATTTTTCAACAAATGTTTATTTCATCTTAATTTCAGTTGCTTTTTATAGAAACTTCCATTGCATCAATCTACCATTGTTAATACTTTTAGGTGTCTAATACAAGGAGTGGTGGGGTCAGAATTTTACTCAATATGAAATAAACTGAGTGGTCTTAAGCTCAGGGCAATCAGAAAATAAAAAAACAACTCTCTCCAGGCCTTTTATTCGACACCTAAGAGTAAACAATGAATTAGAAATAAAAAGGATCCAGTGAGACTTTTTTTTCCTCCCTTGTGAAAGCTGCTTTATTGATTTGGCTAAGGTAACTGTTCAGCTGCAATCATGCAAATCTAATTATATAACTGTCATGGTCCGGTTCCTTGTACCATGGTGATAGTCCAAGGTAGAACCAATAAAGAAGAACTCGAACACAGGTATGGAATAACACAGATATATTACAAACAGGAATATATACAGAGAAGTAGAAGTGTTAGTATGAACAATCAAGTTTAGTAGAGAGAACAATGTAGTCTCGACCAGTATCACTATTCCAATGTCTTGCAGTAATTGTCTGAACACGACTCTGTTTCAGACTGCCTCTGACTCGACTCTTGACCCGACTTGAACTACTGACTCAACTGACTCTTTGCCTACTCCTGAGGCACAGTATTTATTAAGTATGGAATAGTCCATTATTATTATTATGTGTACGATCCCACAATAATAACCATTCCTTATTTATTCCAGTATCCAAATACAATGACATTTTTATTTGGATACACTTAATATCAGACTACTGCATCAAAGAAATTAAAAAAAAATTCTAATAATGATTTTCTAAATAATAAAAATGGTGATATATTGAATATATTAGCTGGGGAAATAAGGAATGATTAGATGTAAATGTTGTAAGGTTGACATAGTTTAATTAATAAGACAGCTGTCATCTTAATATAGGTTTCCTGAGAAAAAATAGGTGAAAGTATGAGTCTTAGTAAAAGCTTATTTATTCAAATCTGCATTGATTACTGATAACTGTTAAATGATTGATTGAAGTTACAATAAAAAGCAATTAAAATTAAGATGAAAGAAATGATAGTTGAAAAAAAATTTTAGTGACAAAGCTTCACTTAAGAAATCCCAATATTAATAAACCTTTTCATAGGAAATCATTTGTAATTTTGTATACTTGTATCATGAAAATATATGCAAAATACCAGTTCTCTCAAAATGGAATGTAAAATCCTTTATTTTTTTTTTTTTCCTCCTCAAGATATGAACCTTGCCCTGCACTGGAAATTTACATACATAATTTCCAATTAATGTCTTGCACTGAAAAAGGTGCTGAAGCCTTAGGTAAGTTTGACAGATTCAAAAAATCATTTTTTTTTTTTTTTAAAAAATGATTTTTTGAAAAATAAAGAAATCAGTGATTTTTTTTAAATAGAATTTATTAATATATATATATATACATAATAATCTGGCTTCTAAAAATAATTTTGACAATTGTGGTAAAAAAATTTTATATTTTATTAAATTGCAAATTTAACACTTATTTATTGTTTACATGTTTGTTTTGGTATACTTTATATTTTAGTGGAATATGTTCTATTGTTTTTTGAATATTATACTGGTATTTTTACTACTGAAAGCTATTAGTGTGACATGTTAGTAACATTTATTTTGTCACAATTTTATAGTGATTTTACTTTGAACAAGAATTTATGATATCTAAGCAACTTAAACAAGGAAAACTAGCTTCTTTTATTATGGTATAAAGTAATGCAGTTTTGAGTTGTGAGCATCCATTATGTTGTTTAGAAAATTATCTAATTTGTGGATTAAAGCATTGATTTGTAAATTTGATAGCACAGTAAATCAATCCCCGGGCTGTGCAGTAGACTCAATGGAAACAGAACAAACAATAAATGAGTAATACTAAAAAAATCCTAAATATGGACAGTGAAATAAGAACAAGATACAAACATAGATTAAATAAAGAGTTCAGTTTTAAATTCCCTGTAAGCTACATGACTTGATAGACATCTGAAGGAATCTGGGAGGGTACAATGGCCAGAATGTTGTGATAATAATGACAAAAATGAAGATAATAGTTTGAATATAAATAATAGAAAATTACCAATTATATACAAATATCGCCATTATTATTCATTTTTGGCTAGTCTGGCTCTCACTTTATTTCTGTTGCTTTTTTATTACAACTCTTTAAATTATTTTATTACTTTTGAATCTTGCTTGGTGTTATTTCTGACTCACATTTTTTTATTTCATGGCTGTAGAATAATGATCTGGGAGTTGCAACAAATAATATTAAAAAAAAAATAATAATAATGACCTATCAAATTTATATTTTATAATGAAATTAGGAATTGCTTTTTATATTTGCCCAAAATATTTTTTAATTATTTCTTCAGTAACTGACATTTTATAGTTTAAATGAAAGTGATAATTGGTTAAATATTCTGTTTATTTTTCTGATCTAAGGTATTGTAATTATTTACATTGTTTGGACTGTTTTCCTCATCTTTATTGCCATATTCATTATGTTTCAGTTGTTGTATGCTCTGGCCATCTTCAAGTGATGTTTGGGATTTCAAACTGTCCACGGGGGTAGATTGTTCTAATTCAATGTGTCATGCCTTTGGATATCTGGATTGATCCAGAAGTGACTTAACCCAAAGAGTTGTGAGTTCAATCCCTGGTCACAGCAGAAAGACAAAAAAAAAACTTGAGCTATCAAGGGGAATTAACTAAAACTGATATATCCAAATGCATAGCATATAGAATTAGAACAATCTATCCCTGTGGACTAAATAAAGAGTTTGGTTTGAAATAACAAATATCACCTGAAGAGGGTCAGAGTGTACAATGGCTGAAATGTTGTGAATATAGCAATATGAGGACAACAATCAGAACAATGTAAATAGTGTAAATAGTTAAATATTATAATTTTAACTTTGTCTCTTTTCAGATTCCATGTCTGTTCAACTTCAAAAACTGTTGATGAAATATCTAATCTACTTGTGTGATGAACCAATCGTTGCTGTTGATATCAAGGCCAAATATTTAGCTGCTGTCCTCTCTCTCATCAGTTTGATATTTTTACAAAACTCTAAATTTGACATCAATACTTTTTATAAAGGTAGGTCAGTTAATTTGGGTTATTTTGCTGTTTGAGAGAGATATATAAAAATGAAACTATTAACTTCCTATATTACATTCCTGTTAAGTCCAGGATGTTACAGAAATACCTCCAAGAAATACCCCCCACACAATGGTAAGACATTAGTGACAATGGTGTCTTCATCTAGCTGATGTCTTACCATTATGTGGGAGGTATTTCTACTGCAGCTTGTATTGTTTTTATGAACTTCGAAATTGTTACTTTTTGTAGAAATCTAGTTTATTTATTATTTTTGAATTTATTTTCATGAAAATATTTCATATGAATGTATTTGCAAATAAAATAGATCCATAGTGTATTTTTAACTGTTAAAACATGTCTTTTTGTTCAAAAGAATGGTGAATAACTCATTGAATTATAATCATGTCAGTTTTCTGAATTCTAGAAAAATTGCTTAGATAATATTCAAATTAATTCAGGATTGCCATCAGTCAAGTGTAGTTTTCAGACAATCTCACCACTTAGCAACTGCCTACATTATTGGTGTGGCCTTTTTGAAGATAGTTATTAAAAACAATGCCTTTTGCATACCAAACAACTGATGCTATCACCTTCTCTGCAGATGAAATGACCTAGGCATTCTTTGGAGCAGGTGAAATGAGGTGTTTCCACTGCATGGATTGTCCTTTTGTCTCTGACTCAAAATGATGAACCCAGCAATCATTCTGGGATAGGAAATGTTCAAGGAAACTAACTAACTCTGCCTCAAACAATGTAAGATTTTCCCAGTGATGTGATCAGCGTGGTGCCCCTTTTGATCAAGTGTCAGAAGACAAGGCACCAGCAAAGCAGAAATGTTCGTCACCCCAAGTTTATTGTGCAGAATATTCTCAACTCTCTCATGGGATATTTTAATAGCATTGGCTATTTGATTTATAACTAACCGTCTGTCATCCATAACCATGTGGTGGACATGATCAATGTTTTCCTCAGGAGTGAGAGTTGCAGGACATCTATACCTTGGGTCAACTTCAAGACTATCCCTTCCTCTCCTAAATTCAGCTGTCCACTTTTGCACTGTTGATAAAGCTAAAGCATCATTTCCTAATGTAACAACCATGTAAGCATAAATGTTCATTGGGTTGCTAAACCCTTTTTCTGCAGGTAATTGATAAACTATGGTGCCAAATTTTGTCCATTTTCAAGAGAAGTTGCTACTAGTTACTTTTGAAGTCTTTGAACGGTCAGATGTCAGGTTACCTGGAAAGAAACAATGCAGTTATTAATAAGAAGAGTTGAAATTAATACATGTGAGATTTCACAACTCTAGCATCACTCCTTCATAAGAATTTTTCAGCACCCCCTCGTAAAGAACAAATGTTGAAATCATTCGGGTAAATCTTCATGACAGTTGAAAATTATATTTAGTTTCTGTTGTGATATATAACCCAATATTTTAATACTTTTTCATTTCTTTTTTTTTTCTTCTTTTAATCAAGGTGATATGCTACCTAAATGTCTGCTGAAGATTCTGGAGGCTTTATTTCCTTATATATTTCATGCTGTAAAGATATTGACCCCTAATAAGGTCCCAAACCGAAGACATTCAGTATCGGTGATTGAAGACCTGGCTACTTTTAAAAAGTATAGATGGGATAAAGACGTTTCTGAATGTGAAGAAGTTTTGGTTATTTTGTACAGTTCACTGCAGGCAGCTGTTGCCAACTTTCTTTGGCTAATCCCGGAGGTAATTGCGGGAAACAATTTCTCTATTGTTTTTATTTTTTTTTTTTTTATTTTTTTAAATTTGGTTATCGAAATTTGCATTCAATATTTTATATCATTAAAAGGAAATCTGAGTTTGATGAATTTTTCATTTTTTTTATCCAGAATAGAAACCTCATAACCAGAAGCAGTGGGGGGATCTTGCCAAATAAAATCTTTTCTTGACAACAGTTCACAGAAGAAAATCTATTTGTGCTTATTTGCCAATTTTACAAAGTTTTGAAATTCATCACTAACCACTTGAGAATGGGATATTTTTTTTGTCTGACTTCATAGAAATATCTAATTATTGTTATTATTACCTTCCACAAATGGTCTTGAATCACAATCTACTTCATTACCTGAATAGACTTTGGGCAAATAAGCTTTTCATGAGATGTTTTGTCTGCAACTCTGGGGAAAAATATTTTGGCAAGACTTTAATCAGCTGTTACTGATACATTTATTAATGTGTCAATGTTATTAATATACAAGGTATCTAAAAAAAATGTATACACATTTTGAAACTTTCTCAAGAAATAATTCAAGCAACTAGAACCAACTTGCTTAGATATTGTATATGAAGAGAATTATTACTATAAATTCATTCTCTTAAGATTATGTCATTGCATGTTTTCAAATCGATGTCTCTTATGATCCAGACATTGCTGACAACATGATGCAATGGAATCACAAGAAGAAATCAAACTTTTTGATAGATTTCTTGGACGTGTGTTAAAACTTTCCATCACCCTTTCTCACTTCACAGGGTGTGGTTAATATCTGTGGTTTTCTGGATAAGTTCTTGCATACATCATATACAGTATCATCAGCTTCAAACGTATAATCTCACAAATTAGAGATAAGCCGCGTGGATGGATCTGAATGAAACCCTCTTTGATACTTCAACTGCATTTTCATACTTTCAGTAGATTTTCAGGATGAGCTTTTTTTTTTTGTTCAAAGCTAAGCCTGGATGACATTAGTAATACAAATGTACAAATCTGAAAAGAAAATAAGTTGACTTGAGCTATACGCTGTAAAATTGTGTATACATTTTTTTTGAGACACCCTGTAGTTTAAAGCAAATTTTTATAGCACTTATCTAGTTTACTTTTGTCCTCCCACCCCTTTTTTTCATCATACTTATTATAAAACCCAGGTTGTGTGTGTGTGTCTGTTCGCTTATATATTGGATCGGATTTCCTACATTTTTCAACCGATTTCAACAAAACTTCACAGGACTACGTAAAATTACCTTGTGGTTGTTCTGACAGTGCCAAAAAATTGGAAAAACAATTGTTTTTGCACGAAATCAATTTGAAAACACAATTAAGAGGCATCGCTGTCACAAGAATGAAAGGGAGACAACTCATATCGAGTTATACTTATTATAAAACCCAGGTTGTTTGTGTGTGTGTGTGTTCATTTATATATGGGGTCAGATTTCCTACATTTTTCAACTGATTCCAACAAAACTTCACTTGGGGCGGGGGGGCAAGTAGTGTTTCTTATTGTCTTGCACACTTTTTTCTTTATTTTTACATTCAGAATGCTTTAAAAATTCCATTTACAAGACAATTGTTTATAATAAAATTCTATTCAATCGGTAGACTCATAACAATTGAAAAGAATGTTTGGGTTTGACCAATTCTAAAAAAAAAAAAAAACTAAGACATGCGTGTCCGTCAACCTTAAACAATAATCTTTGTCAATTTTATTTTTCGGTCTTATGATGGTCAATACTTGATCTATCTCTTACTGTTATATCCCCGGGCAACGCCGGGCTCTACTGCTAGTTACTTATATTTTTGCTAGATGTATATATTTCTTTTTATTCAAAATGATTTTCAAAGGTCATGTCTAAAACACATGGCACCTTTTTTCATATTTTTTGATGTTAATACAACACTTCAGCAGATTCATTCTTCAGCCTTTATCAAGTGTATAATTTATAAGAAAATTGACTAGATCAACCAAAACATGTTAACTCAGTTGCCTAAACAAATAATGACTTTTCTGAATGTTATTGTAATATTTGTTGTTTATAATCCAAAACTAAATGGTATAAATGGTACATATTTAATTTGTTGCTTTTTATTTTGGTTTCTTTCTAAAGACTGCTGTTGAAGATTCCATTTGGAGCCAGATTCTCCATTACTTGGACACAGAATGTGCAGAATTACATCTCCATTATTTGGTGATGATTATCCAAGATTTGAGTCATGAAGTCAAGAGTCCAGTTGAATATTTGAAGGTAGTCAGTGACAGTAACGGTCTATATAGACTCCATCACATTGTAGTGGATAGCATCAGTCATCAAATGAATAAGGAACCAACTTCAAGACACCAAAAGACTAAAAGCTCTATCACATGACCATAAAAAGACGCATTTTGATAGTTTGAAAATTATACTGTATAAAGACAAGACGGGCATGAAATTTTGGGTCTAAATGCTTTTTTACCCATGCAAAAACAAAAATCACATCCATCTTTTTTAGAGGCCTTCATCAATTTACTGCAAAACTATTAATTGAATTATCTGTTGATAAATGAGGCCAAACACAAAAATGACAAACTCCTAGCCTAAGTTACTTAAATTTGAAATGAAGCATTTCATTATTAATTTTTGAGTTTTCTTCCACTTAGTGTTGCTTTTTATCACCACATTCCAAGATCAAATCCGTTCCACCCAGCAGTAAGTAAGCAGTATGAATCTGAATAAAATAGCCACTGTCTGAGACTTGAACTCACATCCTGTCTGACATGAATGACTTAACCTCTGTGGTTAGTAAAGACTGCAATCCATGTAAGACAGTCTTCCCAGAATGCATTTCTTTATTCTAATTAATACTGCTTGCTTTAGTAACCAGAAGTAATCAACTGAAAATGGTGTGATTAAAGCTAGCAAGATGATGAAAATTAGTCAAAACTTAATACAAATTTCTATTGGAATTATTTCCTTTAACAATTTTAACATTTTTTTTTTTTTTTTTTTTTTTTTTTTATGATAAAAATATTTTAAGAAGTTTAAGACTTTGTCTTGATTTTGAAGATTTAGGATTCTAATCTGCCTTATTATCTCTTCTTATATATTTTTAATATATTTTATATATTAAAAATTGATTATTGTTGTAGTAAGTAATATTCATATCCAGCCTGCTTCACATCTCCCTCATGGCTAGTCCTCTTTTTCACCAGTATACTGGAATTGAGTCTACAGACAGATATGCCTCACAATTCCAGACCAATGATCTCACTGGCTTCTTTGATATGAAAGGCTTGATTCTTTACACACAATACAATGTCTGCTTAATTCTGGGGTGCCTGCTGATTGACGAATGGCAGTCATTTGAGTAGAACTTGGCAATAGCAAACACGGGCTTTACAGGTTCAATGTCCTTTTCTACAGTGTTGAACCATTTTTATGGAACTCTGGTCAGTCAATTTGCTCAAACCTCACTAGTGCTATGATAATTGAAAGATTGTACTCCTTTATCAATGAGGTCAGTGTGTCCAGCTACCTTCTTATGAGCATTTCACTAGTGTCTTTGGTATTCAATGGAGCCTTGCTAGTAAGGGCATTTGTTAACCAGTGATATATGCAGAGGGAGTCTCTGTTTATATGTATCACACTTACCTGCTGCTTGAATCCAGATTGATTCCTTTTAGTATAGCAGCAACCTCTATCATTTCAAAATGATGTGTGTCTTTTATTGGTCACAGCCAGCATGCATCTTTAATGATAGCTCCATTCATGTTAACAGACATACTCCCACAGCCAGTGAACTTGTGTCCATGCACATGTCCAGCTCCTTCCTGTCCACATACCACTTTTCTGAGACTGCACCCTGGTGAGTGCCCATCACCATTTGTTTCAGGGGAGCATCAACGATATCTTCATTTCAACTGTGACTCAGTGTTTAAAGAAGTCTGTCACCACACAAAGCCAGCAATGTATGGGGAAATGTCCCACATTGAAAAGATATTTCGCCATGTTATGGTTAGAGGACCATTCATTATATTGCTGGCACCTCAGTTTACCTTGCTGCCTCCAGATTTCTAGCTTCAGCACTCTGCTACCATTCTGCAGCCTCTCTGGGCCTTTACTACATTCAGGCCAAATGCCATCCTGGTTAGACAATATCTTAGTCTCTTGAACATGACTGTCTGGTATGGCAACACAGATTTTTCAATGCAATCCTGCAAGTATATGTGCAAACACTTACAGTGACCATGAATGTGTCAATGTGGATGTTCATCTCCCAGTAATCCATTACAGGATGTATCTTGTGCTTGCTTGTATTACAGCCATCAGCAGGTATCAGCTCTTTGGGTGGGCCAAATTCCTTGTTGTGATAAGGCAACAGCCAACCATTGTCCAGTCATATCTTCAGCTAGCACTTGTATTCTGTTCTCAGCTGATTCAACACCAGGTACACTGAAATTGTTTCTGACCACTTCAAGCTGCAATTCATATTCTCCACCACTTGATAAATTTGGCACTGAAATCAGCTCCTGTTGACATGAAGCACTGCACGGAAAGGCATTCTCTCCTTGAATTTCACACCTTGCCTAGGCAAGAAGCTAGTCTTAACATTTTGTCCCCTACCTTGTTCATTTCCTAGACAATCTCAAGTCATGTGGCTGATTTTGTTGCAGCATGCATGAGGCATTTGATTCTTCTGCAAGGAGTCCTTTACCAAATGGTTAGGTTCATTATTTGCATGTGGGTCTGTGTTTGGTACAGGAAGTCAACCCTTTTTAGGTCATTTGATGCTGAAACCAATTATGATTGAAAATAATATTCAGCTTAAAAGTCTCTTTTTTTGAAGCAGGTGGGGAATATATATATATATATATATATATATATATATATATATATATATTATGTGCATATTTTTGAATAAAGTCTTTTTTAGAAAGTTTGTTATTTTGGAAGAGTGGATTTTGTTGAAAATTTCTCTCAAATTGTTTACTTGGCAATATCTTTCTCGAGTTTGGTAAAAGTCCTGACAATCCAGCAATATGCGTTTTGAAAAAGAAAATTACAAAGTTAAGAATCAATCAGATCGAAACATACCTCGTTTTGATTAGACTTGATACTTCAGGCTGGAAGACAAATTTAATAAAAAAAAACACAGACATGTTTTACTTAACACCCGCATGAGGTGAACGCTTTATTTACATTAGGGACTGTAAAAAAAAAAAAAAAAAAAAAAAGAGGAGATAACCAAAAACTAAGAGCAGATAACTCTTGGCAGACTGACAGTCATTGATAATTCAACATGTTTTACCAATAGTCTCTCTAGGCATTCCATACATGTTGGGGGTTCTTCACTTTCCAGTAGATATTTGTAAGTGATTTGGGTGTGGCCTATGTGGAAGCAGGTCAGTACTACCTGTTGTCTTCTGCTTTTGATGTTTTCAGTCTGCCATTTTTCAATGGTAGTTTTAACATTCCAGAATTTGTTTGTATAAGTATCCATTTTTGTTGTCATTTGTTTGTAATCAGTTCCTTGATAGCTTTTCTATAGTCAGTGTATGATATTTTTCAGTTTGATGGTTGCTCATGAATTGTTTTTTTTTTTTTGTTTTTTGGTTTTTTTTTGCTTCAGAGTCTGCTTTGTCATTACCAGGGATACCAGTGTGACTTAGTATCAGGCATAGTTACATTTTTTTTCTTTGGAGATGTGTTGGATTTGCTCTCTCTAGTATTTGGGTGATTAGAGGATTACAAGGAGTTTTGGGGTTTTTTCGTGCTATAAGTATGGATAGGGAGTCTGAAAATTAAAAATCTGTCATGCTCGTTTGTTCTTAATATATAAAGTGCTAAATTGATAGCAGTTATTTCAACACTGTATATTGCGGCTATGTCCACAAGCCTTTTCCTCAATTTTTTTTTCCAAGAATGGCAACACACCCAACCTCACCTCATTTTTCTGTGTAGATGAATAGATGATCTGAATGATTCATTTTATGTTGAGTATTTCAGAATGATAGGTAACTGAGTTGGTTTTGGTATGTTTTGTGAGATCTAATATTATTTTAGGTGTTTCAATCATCCGTGGAGTAGCTTCTGATATGGTGGATTTATGGATAATGGATTATATCTATCTGGTACTTTAAGACAAGCTCTTTCATTCAGAAATTGAATGATTTGATAGCTTTTATTTTTTTCTCAAAAAGTTCAGTGTATTGTAGGTAAAAAGTGTTAATTGCAGGCTGGGTTTAAATGGATATGATTACAGTTTTATATTTTTTGTGTCACAATTTTACAGAAGGTTCATTTGCTTCTGTGTATAGACTTTCTACAGGTGAGGTGTTATTTTCTCTGTGGACTAGTTTGTGTCCTTGGTGATGTATAGTATTTAGTTTCCTCAGATATGATTCTCTAGATGCTCCATATATAAAGCAGCCATAGTCCAGCTTGGTTCTTATCAGTGTTCTGTATATTTTTAGTAAGGTTTTCTGATCTGCCACTTCCCCAACAGTCAGTGTGAGTTATCTACATATAATAAGCAATCTATTTCAGGATTTATGTTTTTTGTTTTTTTACAATATTATTAATTTTAGGCAGTATGCTGCCTTGTGGTACCCCTGTTTTGAGCATTTTGGAATCTGAGTGTTGATCCGACTCACACTTGGAAATTTCTGTCTTTCAAGAAACTTCCCATAAATGTGGGCATTCTGCCTCTCAGACTTAGATCATTCATGTCTTTTATAATGCCGTGTCTCCATGTTGTTTCATAGGCTTTTTCAATATCAAAGAAAACTTCTGATACATGTTCTTTTTGGATGAAAGTCTTGAGTCTTAGTAAATGATCTGTAGTAATTGTTTCTAAACCCTGATTGGTACTTGGTAATCAGGTTGTTGGTCTCCAAATACCAGAATAGTCTATTGTTTATCATCCTTTCAAATGTTTAGCTTATACAATTGGTCTGTAGTTTGAAGGTTCAGTAGATTTTTCCTCCGGTTTATGATTATTGAGATTATTTGTAGGATCTTTTGTGAATTTCGGTATTGGAATCACTGTGGCATTTTTCCACAGCATTGGTACTTCACCACTGAGCCATATATTGTTGTAGATTCCAAGTAGGTACATTATGGATATTGGTGGTAGTTGTTTCAGGAATTCATAATTTATTTCAGCTGCTGTGTTGTGCATTTTGATTAGAGCTTCTTAGAGTTCACTTATGGAATATAATTGGTTATAGTTTCCTTGATTTTTTGATTGGAAATTTATTTTCTTTTTTTTTTTCACAGTGTTTAATGTTTTGATTTTTATTAGCGGAGTTTTGTACAAATTTCTCAACCAGTCGGTTTGCTCTTCCTTTCTCGTTGGCAGCTGTTTTATTGTTTTTGATAAGGTGTTT